GAAATACATTAGAATAGTCTGTAAAATATTTAATGGCCAATATCTTCTTACGATCCAGGAGTTAGATGGCCACTGATCACTGAAAAGTCATCCGTTTTTATACTGATTAAATTTTTAGAATTTTTTTTTATAGAACAATAGATGTCATTTTTCTTATTTAAATTTAAAATTTAAAATTAATTTTTTTTAATGATATATCTTTTTTGAAAAAATAATTTTTTTATCTTTTAATTTATAATTTTTATAATATTTTATATTGATTATACATATATATTTAAAATGTTTATGTTAATTTTTTTAAATAAAAATTCTTGTATGCAAACCTTTTGTGTATTATTTTTTTGGTTTAACTTTTTAATTTATTTTCTCTTAAAGTATAAATATGTCATTTCTCATTTTTTATTTAAATTTAAATTTTAAATTATTTTTATCAACTATGCATATATTTTTATAATTTAGAATATATTTTTCATTTAATCTATAATTTTATATTAAATTAAAATTTATTATATATATCTTTTTTCCCGGTGCAAAAATTTTAAATGTTGAACTCTTTTCTCGCCTTTCAAGTTCAAAATTCAAATTTAAAAAGTTCAAAATTTGAATATTAAGTATTTTTCCACCTAATAGACTTAATAATAAATTATTAATAGGCTATCTATAAAAATTAAAATTTTTAATAGGCTTAGCAATTTTTCATGTAGAAAGTAGTGAGAAACATTAAAATAGTTTCTAAAATACTTAATGACTAACATCTTTTACAATGCACGAATTGGATGGTCACTAGTTACTGAATAGTTATTCATTTTTACAGTTATTAAATTTTTTAATTTTCTTTTTTTCAGAATGATAGATACCGTTTTGTTTATTTAAATTTAAAATATTTTGTATTAATTTTTCATATTTATATAAAAAATTATTTTTTTCTCTTTTAAATTACAATTTTACATTTTTTATAGGGGAAGGATATTGTGACAACCAAGTTGTGTTACTACCAAGTGACTACCAATCAATCTCACCGTTAGATCGATTATGTTGATCCAACGATTATATTAATTTCTATCTTTGTATGGTCATGATTTTTCAAGTTTAGTACTTTATATTTATTTTCACCTTTGTATGGTTATGATTTCTCATATTTAATGCTTTCACTTTGAATATGGGGAGTCATGACCATACAAAGATGGAAATTAATATAACCGTTGGATCCACATAATCTATCTAACAGTGAGATTGATTGGTAGTCACTTGGTAGTAACACAACTTGGTTGTTACAATATCCTTCCCCTTGTTAGAATTAGTAATTATTAAAATTGTTTCTTGCAAATCTCATTGCTATTAAACACCGCAATCACAATTATTGATGTCGTTATTCAAATAAAATGATTAAAGAGGCATCATCTCAGCAGGTTTAGATATTTCCTTTTCTGTTATAAGTTTTTCTGCTATTATATGACCAACAAATTTGACTTTATAAATTTATTCAGAGCTGCACTTTATTTTGCTTGCACAGCAACTGAAAAACTTTACGTCTTGTGCTTCATATATGCCTTGTTTTCCCCTTAATCATATGATATTGCCAAGCGAACATACAGAAGGTGCTATTTTGTTGTTTTATGTGTCGTTGAGAGGAGAGGGAGGATTCAATCATTGATTTACATTCATGTCTTGCTTACGAGAGTTTGTCTAAAACTACGTTTGTGAGGAAATTATGTTTTTCTTTTTCTATTAAGGTAATTTTGGTTTTTTTAAAAAAATTTAACTCTGTTAACAAAATTTTGGATGAAAAATCAAATTAGGGGAGTAAGTGATAAAGAAATTTTAAGTAAGAGGGTAAATGATTAAAAAATTCGGGGAGGGGTTAAGTTATTTTGAGGAAACTTATAGGGGGTTTTTTGAAGTTTTTCCTTTTATATTTGTAATGAATGATGAACTATTTGCCCACACATAGGGGTGTAAATGGGCTAGGCTGGCCTACAGAGCCTATGGCCTAGCCTATATTAGGTCAGATTTGATCTATTACAAATAATAAAATAGAAAAGGCCCTGAGCTTTTAAAAAAATAATATATTTAGAAAGCAGGCCATAAATTTTTTTGTATATGTCGAACCTATACAGGCCAACCTATATAATATAATTTTTTTTAATAAAATAAATAAAATAACATTTTAGTTATTCTTTTAATTATTGAATATTTAATAGGCTTTAAGGCTATCATGTCTAAGCCAAAGTTTTTATTTTTTAAATATAGGTCAGATTAGACTTGTAATTTGGGGCCTACACAAGCTAACATTCTAGGCCACATCCAATGTTTTCTACACAAGTCTGGCCTATTTAAGTCAAAGTCTAACCTAGTCTAGCCTATTTACTCCCTTACCCACACATTAAGTTCAAATTTCAAAATTCAAATTTAAAAAATAAAATATTTTGTAATGAATGCTGAAATCTTTTTTCACTTATCAAATAAAAAATTAAAATTTGAAATGTTTCCAAAAATGGAAAAAATTAGAGTGGTTTTTAGTGTGAGTATTGAAAGAAAGAGCGACACGTCAGTAAACTTAACAAATAAATAAATAAATATATTCTCCTTTAGCATAGATATAGATATTAAATTGGTTCTTAAGGGGTAAAAATAAAGGGAAAAATGTTTGTCATTTTAAATGATACAAAGTTACGTCATTTTTAATGAAACTACGTCGTTTTGTTAAGTTTTTACATTCTCTCTCCTCTATTTTTTTTATTTCTAATTTTATAAATTAGAGAAAATGATAAAACACACGAAAACGAAGTAGTTTCATTAAAAATGAACAAAGTTGTGTCATTTAAAACGACAAACACTATTCTCCAAAAATAAATAAAGGTTATTTAGAGTATTATTATAAAGGGAAGGGGAGTAAGAGAAAATGAGTGTGTATTGAAGGGTGGAGCTATCGGGGGTGACGATGGTGGTATCATCAGAATGGCTGGAGTTGAAGGAGTCTGCAGCGCAGCCGCGAGTCTCATCTCTCCGATTCGACCCTTCGACAACATCAACCTCTGCCTCTTGTGGCTTCGCCTTCACCGTCTCCCATCACGTTGAGATCATCAAGCCTTGGTCCCTCAGCCCCGTCGACACGTCAGTATCCAAAGTGGGACCCACCATCTCCCCATTCAGGTCGACGCCGGCGCCACCACGGACTCCGCGGTTCGGCATGGGCAAGGGAGAGAAGTGTCGGGAATCGTTCTTGGCGTATTTGAAGATGTATGGGAGGGAGGCCCTCCGATGAACTAGTTTATAGATCAAAGATGCGGCCCCCACTCGCTGGACTCACCTCCATTGTCTCCCTCTCCCCTCTTATCAGACGCCGCCACCTTTCACTTTCTTAAATGAAGGGATCGAGAACAAAGATAAACGACGCCGTGAAATGGTGTGGACTGTGGACTGTGTTTATTTTCGTAGGGGATAGTTTATCTGGAGTTAGGTTCAACGATGCGAGACTTGGTAGGAAGAATATGTGTCGATTTTGTTGGAACGATTCTCTCATACACAACATATCATAATTCTTTGCTCTTAATTATATCCTCTCATCTCATCTCCCATTCAATTTGGATAAACAATAAGTTTCATTAGGAAGGTTTTAATTTTTTATTTCGCCATAACTCTTTTTTTTTTTTTTTTTTGGAGTTACCAACCTAATTATCTCTTTGAGACGAGTTGGCTCCCTCCGGTATCCCCACGAGCTTCGACTCTTTGAGCCGGCTATGGGACTAATCCGGAGTGCGGGGGAACAGTGATGGATAAAGGTTCACGTGTTGTAGGCATACCGAAAGTCCATGTGAAAGGCTTATTCATATTCGTTAGCATGCCAATCTGCACATTTCTTAAACTAGCATTATTCAAATCACATAATTGCCAATATTTTTTTTATTTTTTATTTTTTTAAAAATATTTCAATTAGTTTCGCAATTAGTCCAATTTGGAGCTACGAGGATTGAACATGTAATCCCTACTTGCTCAGTTATTTGACGTCAACTGAATTACCATGGCACAGATTACACTTCATTTAAATTGTCATAAATTTCCCCAAACCAGGTCTTGTTTCTTATCCTCATTAAACAGAGTAAATGTAAACTATGACATCATGTCTTGCTTTCTGGTAGTGGCGCCAACATTGTGTTTGTGTACACGGTCAATTAACTTGCTATTGAATGTTTGGGCATGATGAGCACTGATATAAGACTCATTACCCCTTATTGGCCAATGCAGTCTCTGAGACCACGACCCTGACATCTTATTTGCCCATTATCCGCACCATTGCATCAACAAAGGTATCCAGCATGGCATCAAAAAGGTTGTAGTATTTATAACATCCATCCATAACAACAGGGCCTTTTGATTGAAACAGAGCATGCTCTGTTGTTATGTTTTGTGGGTCATTCACAAGGGCAAAGTAAGGGTAGACATTTATCAAAAGTGAAGCCCCATTAGCGTAGTTGTGACCTTGAGGGTATGGGTATCTCCTCCAGCTGAAGAAAGTGCCTGATGGATGAACCTCCTTCACAGTTTCCATCTCAGGAAATATAACAAAGAAGATGGAGAATAAGAGCGTAAGATCATTAACCTTGCACAGTGTGACCATAACCTTGCACACCTAATTTACTGTACTTTAACGATTGGTTTTTCAAGTTTAGCAATCAATTGTGAAATGAGCATTCTCTGCTCTAACCTTTTACAGGTCATGATGCTTCGATTTTGTCGAATTCTTCAAAGCAAGACTGCTAGTCAATTGTGTAGGCACTGGTCAAGGTTTACTTTGTTGTCCACTAATCACTTCATAATGAGGAAGGGTCTCCATAAAATTTGAACATTCCTCAGCCAAAAATAATAGCGTCTTCTTCAAATAGAAGATTGAAAGTAATGGTACATCAAAAAATTACCAGACCATGTATTTGAATTATTACGTAACTTTTTTAGTCGTAAATCTACTGCCAACAAGTGGTATTCAATAACAATTTCTCAACCGAAATCTCTATGAACTGATTCTCTTATATTATCGAGGTTGATGGTATGCAAACTGATTGATCCTTATCCTCAGCATGTTTCATTAATTCCATTGAAATCATTTTAGAACTACAGTCTTCTTGTATGCATTGTTTCCATTATTTCAGATACAAATTACATCCACGAGACATGTAGACCAACTTTTATAGATGAAACACAAGAAAACGCATGAAAAAAAGGTACATACAATGATGTTCTATATTACTTTATGCCTTCTTCTGCAGAGTAACCAAATCCAGCGTAGCACCATAGGTTTTATTTAGGGCCTCAGTGCACCAACCATGTCCATCATCCACCGTTGGCATCCTTACTTCCATAACAGGAATTGCAGGTTGGCGAGCTCCAGGCATCACAACACCAGCTAAAACTCTCAGCACGTTTGCAGCGTCTATGTCCATGCATACATTGATTTCTGGAACTCCTTTGGGTGCTGCAGGTATTCCTATTATCTTGAAATATCCCAACAAGTGGTTTTCTTCTGCTTTTTTTCCCTCTCGTTCATAGACAAGGATTAATGCTTCAGTTTGATTATCATGAATAGTTGTGAAAATTAGCTCCTTCCGCGCTGGCATTGTGGTATTCCTCGGAATGACAGGAACAAAGTTGTTCCCATCAGCTCGAATCCCAATGGCAAGAGGTGTAGCTTGAATAGTTAATAAGTCCAAGTTCCCAAAGGGATCATTGATTCCTGAGGCGACAGCTCCTTCCACTGCTGCACCGCAAACGGCAGCTTCCAAAGGATTCATACCTTTATAAAGTTCCTTGCCTTTAAGTATGTTAGTAACAAGATTCTTCACCCTTGGGATATAAGAACATCCACCTACAACTATCACATCATTTACATCCTCAACTTCTATCTTTGCATCTTGCAAACACTGGATGATAAGGCTTTCACACTTCTCAAACACCTTTTTGTTTACCTCCTCAAACTCCTCCCGGTCAACAACCTTACATATCTTCAAATCATCTCCCAAGTCAACATCAACCTGAACACTGGTCTCAGAGGAAAGCCCGTGAATTGCATCCTGGGTTGCAACTCGAAGCAGGCCCATTGATTTAATTTCTTTCACTCCATGGTTCCTGAATAGATTTTCACAATCTGGTAAGAGATGACGCATCATATTCTGAAGCAAGTCTTCTCCACCAATGGTACTTCCTGCCAAGGCTTTTATCTGCGATACTCCTCCAGCAGTAGCAGTCACAGCAACATCACAATAACCAGCGCCCATATTGAAAATTAGAGCAATTTTCTCACTTCCGCTGCCCATATTATCGTGAGAAGCTTGTTGTTGCTGCTGTCCATATAACAAAGCCACAGCTGTTGGTTCAGGCATCAACCTGAGAACATGAAGCCCAGCCATAGCACAAGCACGCTCTATCCGGGTTAGCTGAAATCGACTGAATGAAGCTGGAACTGTAAGAACTACATTTCTTATCGGTCTTTTAAGCTGAGTTTCAGCCATTGCTCTTAATTCCACCAGAAATATTGCTAGGACTTCTTCTGGAGTGGTGGATCTCCACATATTATTCACTAATGCAGCAACAAATGGGCGAACGCCAATGTCCAAGGTCTGCACCAGAAATGGAAGATTTTTACTTGCATGGACGACTGGGTCAGTGTCAACTCTGCCAATCAAGCGTTTCATGTTGAAGATTGTGGCTCCAGACAGCATCTCGTCCTCGTAGGAGAGTTGATTGCTAACTCCACCGGAAGGAATGTCATCTTTGAAGGTTACATATGACCTCATAATCTTCTGATTTCTTGTGTTCTTCAAGAGCTCCACTTGGGAACCATTCCACACAGCAACACTGCATTGGGATGTGCCAATATCAATTCCAATTGCTATTTCAGGAAAAGTAGATGACTTTTCCTCTCCAACGGTTTCACTGTCAGAGACCACGGTATATGCAGGTTCCACCATCCTGCATTTAAAAGACATAGGAAAGTTGAGTGTTTTCTACCAAACACTATGATGTTGTTGGCAGAACACTTTGAACTCATAATTTAGATAAGTAGAAGTCAATACAATTATGATCACTTTTATTGAAAATTTCATTTCAGCTGACGCTGGGCACTCTTAATCCAATAACCGCGTGACCATCAAAGAATTAACATGCAGCAATTATAAAGAAAAAAAACACAAAGACATGCTACTAGTATAATTTCATTGCGTAATGCTTGATTATGTCTCAACCATTCTGCAGTTGTTTAAACTGAACTTTTTTTAGGGACCCCGTTCAAAACATTGGCAGAAGTAAATTTGCACCATAAATGTAGATTCAAATTAAATTATCTGACCACAAATTATCCCAACAACAGTGCAAAATAAAATGTGAAATATTCTTATGTCGTTTAACAACAAATAAATATAGTAATCCAGACCCTTCCTTGAAGAGAACAAGGGATACTTACATAACAAGAATTAACCATATTTGGGAACAATTATAGACCCAAAGTACAGGTGAATATACTGTGAAAAACCACAAAAACCCGTTCCAAGTAGGTCTTCTTACAAACACCTATAAGCTAACTTCATTTAAGTGACAACAAACAAAAGCAAAAACTCAGTAAAGCACATACCATGCACTATGCTTCGTAAAAATCAAGCAAGTTTAATTACAAATCTCTGTCAATGTTGCAGATGAATTTCACTAACAAAACAAGATCTGACTAGGAATCTCTATCTCTATCTCTAATTTGCATTTGCATGCTAAATGGACTACTCGGATATATAGGTCTATCGGCAGGCTTCAGTAGCATCCAGGAAACTAAATGTAATTAAGCATACCGATTCAAAATAATAGAGAGAGAGAGAGAGAGAGAGAGAGAGAGAGACTGAAACAAAGACAGTAAAATTCTCTATTTTCTTTAAACACATTCCTCAATTCCGATGAAATGAAACTTGGTGTACTGTTTTAAACAAACAAAACACATGGCCATAAGAGAACAGAAAATGACATCGCAGAACGACGTATCAACGCGTCCCTAATTGCATGCTCAAGCAAAGTGAAGAATTATGAAAATGGGCGAAATCCAGTGTCAGAGTTCATGGTTCTATTCTTCAATTTTCAACTAAAAACAAGAATCTTCATAGCGCAGAAGTGCCAAAGAAGAAAGATTGAAAGAAGATGAAGGTAAATAAGACAGACCTTATTGTTGCAGCACGATGTGGAACAAGAGATTGAGGGTTTCAGTGAATGCAAGGAAAGAGGAGTAGCAGAACAGAAGAACGGAAGCCAAGGAGGTAGCAAAAAGGCAAATGAAGACAATACGAGAAGACTCGAAGAGACACCCTTACTAATACAAAGGTGGTCGTGTGTTCTGGAGCCTCCCAGAAACACTCCTACACTTTCGGTGTATTATTTTTTTCTTTGTAAATTTACATCTATTAAAATTCAAAATGTTATTCATCCTAATAAATTTTTTAATTATTTTAAAATACAAAAATTATGACTTTTTCTTTTTTCTTATTATTTTCTAGATTAAATTCATTCATTTTATTCTTCAATTTCTTCTGCTTGTTAGTTACAAATAATTATTTTTTTCTCTATTTATCTGATGAATTAAATATTGCTTAATTTATTTAATCATTTTTTATTCATTTCTCTATTTATCAGTTACCACTAACCAGAAGGGAAGGGTCCAGACATCCGAGGACAACGTGGCAAGCACAAGGAATGTGGTGCCTCTGACTGTTGTAGACTTGTAGTTGTAGAGCAGTGTTTTTTCAGTTTTTGAATTAGGAAAGTAATATAGCAGCAAATTTGACTCACAGAATTATTTTTTTCGTAAATGTAACTGAAAATATATTCTTAACTCGAATTATATTTAAATTACATAATTATCTATATTTAACCGTAAAAGTATTAAATTAATTGAATTTTCTTCAACCAATTTAATTGAATACTTATACACGGAGATACTTTATGAAACAATATTGATATTCCTCATATATTATTTTCTGACCTTTAACTTATAATTATTAATTTAGAAAATCTCGGTATATCATGCTATTAAAAAAATTTAATTATGATAATTATTACTAAAAAATTAATTTTCTTTACAGTGTGTAAATATATATAATCAAATAATATTACAAAAATTTCACAGTAAAAATGAATAGGTTGAACTCAAATAAAAAATAAAATCAAAAATAAGCTTAAATATGCATGAGCAAATAGTGAGTTTTAACTGGCTTTGTTTCAGACTTTTTCTTTCCCTCTCTTTTTTTCTTTTTAATCGGTATGCTTAGTTTATTTCAAGATAAATCACAGCTTTAACCTAGTCTAGTTTATTTTCACACACTTTTTGTTGTGTGTGGTAGGTATTACTCAAAAAAGCAAACTATATACTGCACTATGGTAGTGGTCCTTTTTTCTCTTCCTCTTCAGGTCTCTAAAGAGTAAAACGTGAAAGGAACAATGTGTTCAGTTTGATTAATTGATGACCTTGTTGCTTACATTTCTTTTTGAGTGTTTGATAAAATGACCCAAAGGGATAGATTGGCATAATCATGTAATGACCGACTCTTGGGATCATTTTCTGTAAGCATTCTGTTAAACTATTGCTACTTTGACTGTAATTTCACTATTGTTGCTGGAGACTCCTGTTAACCATGAGCTATAGTGTTATTTATTCTAACTTTCTCTCGGCCCTACTTTAATTGTTGTTTAACATTTAAGATTATGTTGGTAGTAGAGCTAGAATCATTATTGTGACATAAACAACAATGTCTTATAGTGATTGCCTTATCAATATTCCTGGGCTGGGGCTTAATTTAACCTGTGTTAATATATGCGCTAATTTGATTGTGGAATTTGAACTAGTGATTTTTTGTTCGAATGGTCTTCCAGTGATTTATGTTTCAACTTCAGATCTGTTTCAGGCACAACCCAAATGCATATATTATTATCATATCTTTTTCCAGAAGATGTGTATGCAATATACTGTTGACTTTGCATTTTATGTAGTATTTTATTTGTAATGCGATATATACCACTAACATGAAGTTTGAGTGATCAAGTGGGTGCTGCAAATTTTGTATTGTAAATTAAAGAGTATCTTAAGATTGTCATGATCCTAAATGAATGTCTGAATGTAGTATTTGTATTGAGGCAATTGAATAGCTACAAAATAGAATTTCAGTCATCTCCAATTTTCTCTTATGCACGTACGATGGGCATGTATATACATATATAATAATGGGCATGTATATACATACATAATACATGCAAACATGTGTATGTAATGTTTTTCGAGTTAGTTGGTAAATTTTAGTGTTTTTCTTATCTTATCTGAAAATTACTTATTCGATAAATTCTTTATTCTCTTTAGTGATTGTGATGGTGTGGCACCAAAAATAGCAGGAGAAGGGTTGCCATATGTCTCCATTGATTAGCCTGAACCAGGTGACACTTGGGGACGGAGAACTAATAAGAACATATCCTTTTCAGATCGGTTCCTCTATCTCCCTCCTCAACTCCGTCTGGAGAAACTTAATAGCAACATTTTCTCTGAGGAGTATATTAAAGAAAAAATGCCCAAGGTTGATGTCAGTGTCTTTTTCGATTTATTCGGTTGGAAGATCCATGCTTCAACATAAGGTCTTTTTACCCTCTCCAAAATTCTTTGAACGAAAGAAATCAAGAAATTATTTATTTATTTACTTATTTTTATATTTATTTTTGATTCTTAAGATATTAAATCTTTTTCAATTTTTTGGTAGGCTAATTAGTTGTTATGACACTTTATCGTAGGCAACATAGCTGTTGTACATGTTGAACAAATAGAAAATGCAGAAAAATAAGATATTGAAGGTGAACTTTAACCCATTTACCCTCCACTCCATCACTTTATAACGGCATCAAAGTTATTTTGTAGTACTCTCAATACCAACCAATTTAAACTACGGGTGAAAATCAAAACATTTATATTCCTATCTGTTTTCACTTTTTTTTCTGTATTTCTCACCTATTGAAATAAGCATACAACCCCAAGATATAATGATTGATGATGCAAATGTATTGATATTGATTTATAGTTCTCTTTTATGACATGTTACTTTTCTAATGGTAAGACTAGTGTAAGGTTGAAGTCCGCGGGCCAGCCTACAAAGCTCTGTATTTGGCCCTAATCCATTAAAGCCTTTTTGTGGTAAGACCTTTTTTAGCTCAAACCCTCAGAGTCATATAATTTAGCGGGCTGGGTTAGGACTAACTCGTGAGTTAAATTTTTTCCTTATTTAAAATTTGTATTATTTGAAAAACTCAAAAAAATATAAATTTAAATATTTATAAATATAAAATAAATTATAAAAATAATTTAAGTGAAAATTATTGTTAATTTGATGGAAAACATAAGAGGAAGTGAAATATAAAAGAAGAAAAATGAAATGTAGAAAGAAAATCAAAGTAAGAATAAGATAAGAACATGTATGAGCTCTTGAAGGTAAGGAAATATTATTATATTCTGAATTCACCAAGTATCATTTTTTTTATCTAAGATATGTCCTTATATAGGACTTTAAAAATAATTAGGGGAATAATAATAATTCAATACACCATTAGTGTGATGGTTGCATAATACTTCAAAGGTCATGAAAAAAGAGAGTAACACGTTATGAACCATGTAAAAACCCCAAGGGTAGCTCAGTTGGCAGCTGAGCTCCCAAGGGATTGCTTGGTGCAGGGATCAAACCCTGCCTCAAGCAGTTTCTTGGAAAATCTTTGGGGACCAGAGGATAAACCAAAAATCTTCGGTTGGGGGATTAGTTTCGTCCTTTCTCCGGTTGCGAAGTTTAGTGCACCCACTGTTACAATGAGGGACTAGCCTAAACGGGCCGTACCCCGAGGGCATGGTGCCCGGAGAAGGTTGAATGAGGATACCTCCGGCAATGTACCAAAAAAAAAAAAAAGTCATTCATAATATTTTACAACACTCTTCCTTTGATGTATTCTATAATTTCACATATCATTAGTGTGATGGTTATAAAATAAATAAAGGTCATGAAAATCAAAGGTCATGAAAAACAAAGAGTCACATGTTATGAACCTTGTGAAAGGTCATCCATAATTCATGTGAAATGTCACCCATAATCCATGTGAAAGATCATCCATAATATTTTACAACATTGTACACAAATATAAGTGAAAATGTAAACAAAATTTTAATATAAGTGAAAATTTAGTTACTACCTTTTTCTAAATTCATTATTAAAGGATGCCATCAAATAAAGATTGTTAAAGGAGTCATAACAGAATGCATCAACTCTAGTGGAAAACTAAAAGTAACAATGTAATAATACAGTATTGAATAACTAATACCAATATGCTATATATTTGAAAGTTAAACTATTGCTTTTCTTCAACTACTACCCTTATGAAAAACGTTTTAGTTATTATTATTCACAAACTACTAAGGTGTATTGTAGATAATATATTTTAATACAAATTTGGACATATAACATGCTTAAATGTCAATAAAGAATTCCATTTTTATTGATACGTAGATGAAATTCTCAGTTGAAATATATCACTGCTAAAAAATTTATTTATGTTATAAAATATTATGGATGACCTTTCATAACACGTGACTCTTTATTTTTCATGACCTTTGATGTAGTCTATAACCATCACACTAATAGTGTGTTGAATTGTAGAATACATCCAAGGGAAGGTTATTTTATTAAAAAAATTAAATTATAAAAATTTATAATTTGTTTAAAATATGTTAAGAAAGTGTTAAATATTTATTTGTTAAAATATTTTTTAATGTATTGAATATGATAAAAAAATTATGAAATTATAATTTTAGATAGTCTGCGAGATGGCCCAAGCCATAGGGCTTTTAACCCTGCGGATTTTTATTATTAAGGTTCATTTGGTCTTGAGGACTTTTTGGCCCTACTCCACACGGGCTAAGACCTAATAGGACCAGTTGACCCATTTTAATATTTCTAAGATATGAACTTTAGAGGACAACGTGGCAAGTACAAGGAATGTGGTACCTCTTATTGCTGTAGAGTAGTGTTTTCAGTTTTTCAATTAGGAAAGTAAAATAACAAGAAATTTGACTCACAAAATTATTTTTTTTTGTAAATTTAACTGAAAATATATTATTTACTCGAATTAGATTCAAATTGCATAATTATCTATATTTAACAGTAAAATTATTAAATTAATTGAATTTTATTCAACCAATTTAATTAAATACTTATATACTTTATGAAACAATGTTCATATTCCTCATTTATTATTTTCTGACCTTTAAATTATGATTATTAATTTAGAAAATCT